TTTTGTCAAAGTGGCATTTAAACTCTTTAATTATCCAATTATAATTTTTTTTAATATAACCGAAATATCCGAAACCCGACCCGATATCCGATAATATCCGACTTAAAAATATCCGAAATACCCGATTTGAAATATTAAAGGGTCGGGCCTAATATTTAAATTAAAAAACCCGAACGGGTTTAGGGTTCGTAAACCCGACCCGACCGAACCCGACCCGTGCACACCCCTATCGGTATGTATAGAAAACTGAAGAAATCCTTATTGAGATTGCCACCAACAGCTTGTATGAATGGTGCTACGAATACGGCCTTACCGACACTTAATGTCGGTGTGTGTAGATAACCGAAGATGTGCGTGTGTTTTAATGTTGTTAATGTATACCTCTAAAGATGTTTTGTATCTATGAATGTTGTTAATGTATATCTACAAAGATGTCTTGTATGTATGAATGTTGTTGATGTATACCTACAAAGATGTATTGTATGTATGAATATCACTATGTCAGTAATGTATACCCACAACATGTGTTATAATATTACTTAAGGGTAACATAATTATTTCACTATGTAAACAGATGGAGACAACAATGGTGATGAATGTGAAAAAGTTCTAAAGATAGGTATTGAGTTTCCTAGTAAAGATGCAATTTATGATTTCTACAAAAAGTATGCCACAAGTGTTGGCTTTCTTGTTAGAGTCCAGACTTCAAGGAAGGATAAAGAAGGGAGCTTGGTTGCGTTTGTAGTTGTGTGTTCACGCGCAGGCAAAACATGTAAGTCAAAAAACAGTTTGCGACCTCAACCTTCCATACAAAATGGGTGCTTAGCGAGAATAAGAGCAAATACAAATTATATGGGATCATGGGTAATATCACAAGTTTTTTAAACCAATGTCATCTTATGAGTTCGACAAAGTCTAGCTTTGGATGACACAACTGCCTCTAGGGCCGATGATTAAGATTCCGATGCTGAGGACGAAGGAGATTGAGGGGGGCGATGAGTTAAGGTATTGATGGATTTATTCCAATATGAGGATTAAGGTATTGATGGATTTATTCCCACAATTGATATCAAGGCCTCCATCATATTGAATTGTGGTATTTTTTATTGTATAATTGGCTGATTAAATGGAATAATGGTAATGCGATTTTGTATTTATGCAATTTGTTTCTAATGTGTTCTTATGGTTCCAGACATGGTTAAAGTGCTTATGTTTTAATTTTTGGATAATAAATCAAAGACTCACTTTGTGATGACGATGGCCAAGATGGTGGCCAGTGGCGGAGCCAAGATCTTGGGTCAGTGGTGTCAATTGAGAAAATAATTATTATATCAAAATGTGTAAATATTATAAAGCAAATAAAATAACAAAAATTGTCATTTATAAAATTTAAATGCTAATTTAAAATTGTGCACGTCGCATTTTCATATTTTAAAAACTTTATACATTTTTTTTCTATGAAGTGTCGAGCAATTGATTCAAACTTCAAAGAAAGAAGACTATAACACCTTGTCTAATATAGTAATATTTCTAATAAAGTATCGCCGGTCTCATTTCACATGTCTTAACTTTTTATGGATAATCCTAAAATAGGTGGCATGTTTCTTTTTTTCTTTTTAAATATGTGATCTACAACATTTCACTTTATTATACTCAAACTTGATTAACATTATTAGTTTTTCAATCACTTTATTATAGTTGTGTCAAAGCAAAACAAGACACATAAATTGGAATAGAGCTTGTAGTAAACTAGTAATAAGTAAAACTGTAGACTTTTCATTATATACTCCGTATAAGTTAGTGTTCCAACTTTTAAAGTATATACACTGACCTCCGATCCAGTTTTTAAATGGTTGTTTCAATTTTTATTTTTTGAAAGATTATATATTTATACTCCGCATATAGTTTTTTTTAGAAAAATCTCTAAATAGGACTAAAACATAGATAAAATTTATAAATAGGAATATTAATGTTTTATTCCCAAAATAGTACTCATTCGCTCCTACTTTGGAAGTTTGAATCATGTTATTCTTTTGATAGAACTAAAAAAGCCCTATTTCATTTTGAGAATAAAACACAATAATTCCTATTTCTTTTACTTTGTGTATGTTTTAGTCTTATACTACATCTTAAACAATTTCTATTTTTTTAGTGGTGTCAATTTTAATTTTTTGAAAAATTATATATACCTATATATGAAGAAAAAAAGTTGAGTGGTGTCAATTGACACCACAACTCATAGTGTGGCTCCGCCACTGATGGTGGCCAAGCTAGTGATGAGGCTTAATATTTTCATTATCCTTCTTTTGATGGCCGTTGTGCCTTAGAACATTCACACTGGGAGGTCAAATGGGGATCAAAAAACAAATTGATCCCACTTGATCCCCACTATGGGAGATCAATGAAGTGCTCGGTCAAATGGGGAGGTTAAAAATGAGTCCTGAGCAATCTTTGGTGACTAACCAATCACAAAAGGTCATGTGGCTTTGTTTTAGTATCATGGAATGGATGGCTTCTCATCCCCATCAAAATAGCCACCAACCTTATTAAATATCCTCCACCTCCCTAATTTCATTTATTATTCATTAAATTTATTTTTTTGTAAAAAACAAATTATACCAAAAAATAGATTTTTTATCCTCTATAAAAAGACATCAATGAAGAGTATGTTTAGTCACTTCGAAATTTATCACTCCTTTACCTCTTGCAACTTATTGTATCTGTTTTAGAATATTTTTTCTCTGAAAATGGATCGAACTCGTTCTCTACCTAGATTCAATGCCAACAATAAATAATTATAGTGAGTCAAATGTGGATTTTATATTTCATTTTCAAATCATATAAATTAATAATGGTGGAATATACCAAAAAATGGAGAGAGAATGTACAAATTGTAAGTGACCTAGGTCACCATAGTGGGGTGAAAGTATAATAGGTTAAAGAGGATTAAGTTTTTAGATGGGAGTGACGTGGAAGAGAGAGGAGGGGATCAAAACACACCACCATTGTGGACGCTCTTAGTGTACATGCCGCCATTCCCGACTTTTGTAATGACTGATATGCCCTACATTTGTACTTAATTAGAAATTTTCTGAATGGAATTTGCGTTTCCTCCTTTATGCATGTCTTTCTTTTTCTTCCCTCCTTTCCTTTAATTTGTGTTGAAGTTTTGCATCGTCTTATCCTTTTATCAGTGTCATTCTTTTATACTTTAGAAAAATATTCATAGCATAAAGAACTTGTCTTCTTGTGATCTCCCGTGCTTAAGTAGTTTGCTTGAGCGCTGGATGTAGCCGAGGGGATGACTCTTCCTTCGGCTAGGTAGTCACATGGCTATCTACTTAGGAAACTTTTTCATACCTGAAGGATTTCCTATCCTCAACCTTCTCAATCTTGAGGGGAGTGTTGTGTGAAGACTTTGGCCGATATGATGTACCTCAATCGTCCATGAGTCAACGTAACCTTGCATTATCCGTTTGATGGACTTCAATATTTTCTAAGTCCACTGTTATGGTAATGAATAAGACTGCCATTGTTGAACAGGACTAATTAATGAATAAGCATACACAAATAAAATTTCTTGAACAGGACTAAAACATAAGCAAAGTACAAATAAGACTGCCATTGTTTTCTCCCTAAAATATGTTTCATTTACTCCTGTTTAAGGAAGTTTTATACATTTAATAGGATTAAATAAGTCCTATTGTGAGAATAAAACACAATTACTCCTATATGTGCGCTTTTTCTATATTTTAGTTCTATTATTTGGAGTAATTTCTTTACACAAATGAGCTTTTGAATTTTTTGATACCTATTTTTTAAGTTATACGAGTATATGCTTATTTGGTACCTCTTTATGCTCATTTTATAATGTTTCACATTTCAAACGTATCGGATTATATTAGATTCATATATTGAAATTAATTGGAATTGATTACATACACAATTTAAGAGTTTTTATAAACGAAAAATAATAAATATAAAGCGATTTAGAAGATATGAAGCAGAGAATTGAACAATGATGCTCATTCTTAGGCTCCTAATACTCAAAAGAACAGACTTGATACTCAACAAAATTGTGTTAATGCTCATTCAAAAAAATTCGTGTTTTTCATCAAAATTGCAAAAATGCCATCGGCTGTACAGTTGGCACCGTACAACCAATTGTACGCTTCCGTGAAAAGACGCGTGTCATGCTCATCTTGTACTCCTGTTTTAATGTCATTGCTTTTAATACGGAGTATAATCTTAAATCTTATGCTAAAGACAAAAAGTGAAGTCTTATTATTTCGTTATGAGGTATTAAACTTAATTAAACAAATAATAATAATTGTATTGACAATATACTAAGTATTATTTATTGGCTAAAGAGTCAAATAGGTACATGAACTAACTTAAAGTGTTCAATTAGCCCCTTATATAGGAGGTTCTGTCTGGCCGTCGCCAATTGGGGCGGTTCTCGGTGGAATTTTTTGATGAAAATTTTTGAGCATCTTCTTCATTAAGTCTAGTTTACTCATATCAAATTTCAGCTAAAAATTAAATCGGGAAGGCAGTCAAATGATTTTTCAAAATGTACTGCGTTGTTTACCTGCGCAGTTATCTTCAAAAAATCATTTGACTGCCTTCCCGGTTGAATTTTTAGTTGAAATTTGGTATGGATAAACTAGACTTAATGAAGAAGATGCTCAAAAAATTTCATCAAAAAATTCCACCGGGAAACGCCCCAATTGGCGACGGCCAGACAGAACCTCCTATATAAGGGGCTAATTGAACACTTTAAGTTAGTTCATGTACCTATTTGACCCTTTAGCCTTATTTATTTATGCAATTCCTTTCTTCGATATTACCTCATTGAAAACTTTGTCATTTAGTAAATTAATTAACCATCACCATGATATGAAGTTATACCTGAGTACCTGACGTATGTTCTAAGTCATTCTTTATATAGATGGTTATAAATACATGTTTAAGTCGGCTTGAATTTTCCTACACATGTACGTACACAATCAATTTGAGTAAAATAATCTTGAAATATTAGATATATACTAAGTAAAAATTTACCTCTTCTAAAGTAAGTCTTGGTTAGTTAGCTATATATTCACTATTATTATACTCCGAAGTTGTTTTACTATTATTATTATTATTATTATTATTTTTACTTTACGATAATCTTATTATAAAAGGTTGGGATATGTTTGGGTTTATTTAATTATTTCATACTATCTCAATGAGCTAGGGGAAAGAAAGTATGAATATTATGTTGTTTTCATTGGTGGTAGGTGTGCTAGCTTAGTAAAACAAGTAAGCAATTCAAGGTAGAATATCATAAGAAATTGCCAAAAAGTGTGAAGTCCATTAATTTACTTTTTTACCCCTTAAGTTAAGGGCTGGGATTTACTGTCAGGGTCTACAAACCCGCTTGAGATTTAGCATTAAAGCCTTTCTAGGGGTTACAAATCACCTTCCCGGCGGAGCCAATGACGACAACGACGATGACAAAGACCGCCAGGGAGTTGCATGCGATAGAGGGCTGGCGAAGATCGATGGTGGCTCTCCTCTATATACCCTAAAATGACATTTTTATCGACACACAACTTCTTACTTCGATTTCGAAAATTTTAAACATCTACTCTAACCGTGTTTAGAATGTTATAAATCGGGTTCAAAATTTTGTGGTCTGGTCTGATTTGATTTGATTTTATCTGATCTGTTCAAATTTGATCAGGTCTAATAGAAGTTATATGCTTTAAGTGTATTTTACAACTTATTATAGTGTCTGAGATTGTCTGATCTGCTATATTTAAGTCCGATCTGATATAAAATTGAAATGAATGTAACTAAAAACATCATTACTACTTGTAATGGGCAATTTTATGAATATACGATAGTATATAAGAGTTAATTAGGCGCGCATAATTAATGCAGTGGATTGATAAAAATGGATCTTAATTAGCTTGTAGGTGCCAGCTGCAATATAATGGGGAATTTGCTTGCTAGACTTTATAATTACTATTATTATGGTGCTACGAATAGCCAAAGTAATGCTGGTTCCAATAATGGGACATCATTATCCCATGAAGAAGGAAGTGAGGCTAAGAGCAGCACAGATGAATCACGGTCATCAAACACAAGTAGTAGGACTTCCACGGATTCCGATGACTGTGGCGGGACATCAATACGGAAGGGCGATCATCATCACCGGCAACCTGTTGTGTTGAAAAACCCAACGGGACGTAACATTCATGAAAAGTACTACTGGATTCCCCACAGACGGGAGCTGGGGAGAGGAGGGTGGGGGGTGGTGCGCGTGTGCATTGATCCGGACTCCGGCGAGGAACTGGCCTGCAAGTCCATCTCCAAACGCAAAATGCTGCAGAATGATGAGAATGTTGAATGCGTGAGGAGAGAGGTGGCGATCTTGTACCACTTGAAGAACTGCCCAAACGTCGTTACCATCAAGGACACTTTTGAGGATGACGATCAAGTCCACATTGTGATGGAGCTATTGAAGGGAAAGTTGTTGCATGACGCTATGGCCGAGAGGGAGGAATTGGACCTCACCTACACAGAGGAGGAAGCTTCAAACCTTATCACGGCTATTGTACAAGTCATTAAGGTAAATACCTTTTATAATAATTAAATAACGGTGACAACTCCGGTACCCTTTTAAAAATCGGGGGTACCGTACCTATCATGCATTTGATTGGTCCAAACCATTCTATTCCTTTTAATTTAGATTTAATTAAATTAACTTCATCATTTCTATTGGTCCACGTGGACAAAGGTATGGTATCTTAAGGGTACCATAGAATCTACCTTAAATAATACTTCTTCATTCCCATTTTATAAGATATCTTTCCTATTCACTTACTCAACACAAATCACTCTTAATCTCTCACTTTATACATCAAAATTTTATGAAATTTGAATTATTTTTTGCAGGTTTTGTAGCGGTTTTAATGTAGTTTCTGAATATGTAAATTTTATTTTCTAAAACTAATTTGAGTATTGACAGAGATCAATTTGCTTTATCGTCGATCAAACATCGTAAACCGTAAAGTGCCTTATAATTCGGGACGGAGGGAGTACTACTTAGTACATACTAGGAGTGGGCGTGGTTGGTTAAATGCATTTCGGTTAACCAACTTATGGTTAACCGAGATATGGGTTAGTATATTTATAATATGATTAACCATACCATAACGACGGTTAACCGGGTAAACAATTAACCATAATTTAGGTTAACGATTAATTGATTAACAAAAACCCGTTTTAGATCACTGGAGTAGTACCAGGCGCCCTATCCCTAGTTTTATTGTCACCCAGTAAATTACATTTACGTACACGGATTGCAATAATTTGCAAAGTTATTTTTAAAGGAGACCACAGATTGTTATTATTTCTAATTTCTAAAATGATGACTTGGAGTAGTACTGTAGTTTATCTAAAAAGAATGTGCTTGGATGGTATACGGAGTATAATTTATCTAGAATGAACTAAGAGCCCGTTTGGCAACACTGAATCGGCTGGTTCGGTTGAAATTTGTGAAGTTCTGGCTGGAGTGGCTGGATTGACTGATTCTGCTGATTTATGAAGACATTATATTTAAAATATTTTTTATTAATAAAATAAAGAAAAAATATGAGAAATTGCTAAAATGATCCTCTACCGTAATTTCAATTCAGCCAATACAGTCAGAAAAGTAACTCGAACCTTAAAAAGTTCCCGAAATAGGACTAAAACAGTTTGAAAATTCCAAAATAGGACTGCCATGTTTTTTATTCTCAAAATAGGAGTAATTACTGCCAAGTTTGGAAAATACTGTCATGTTTGAAGCCTGGTATTGCCAAAACATGGCAATAATTAGTCCTATTTTGGGAATAAAAACACGCCAGTCCTATTTTGGAATTTTCAAACCTTTTTAGTCCTATTTCGGGTAAATTCTCTATTTATTATTATTATTACACAATTCAGCGCGCGAAATCAAAAGTCAAGTATTTGGTGAAGAAATCGACTGATAAGCTTGATAAGCCGAAAAATATGGTCACTAAACGGACGGTTTAAAATAGAAGCTATGAGTAATAATAGAAGTCATTCAAAATTTATAACTAAAAAATGTGACACCCTAATTACGGGGAATGCATATAATCGTAATTTTAGTCAAAGCATCTTATGTATAATCGTAATTTAAATTCTAATATAATCATAATAACTTTAGTCAAAACTTTTTAAATAAATTATAGTTAAGTACGGAGTAATATTTTTGAAACCACCAAAGAATAATATACATGAAATTAAAACTGTATTCTGGAATCTCCACAACTTTATTTATCAAGTGTATTAATTACGTTTTCTTGTAGTAAAAAAGTGCTGTACTTTTTTAGCTTTAGCAGATGATACATTGATACCTCGCGCGTTTGAGTAATTGAGTGAACTATTGATCAAATTGTATATTTGTATAATTGTATCCAAACTCATATGAAGATTAACGATCTGCTCATTGCTCAAGTTACTCTCTAAAACCTGAAAAAATAAAAAAACTAGAATTACTTATATTTTATTTTGAAAATATGGTTTATATAGACTTTGTTTGCAAGTGCTTGTGTTTAAATAAAAACGTTTTTTGGGAAAAAGTGATTAGTAGTAAAAGTTGGTAGTGTTTGATAAAATAAGTGCTTGTTGTGTAATAGAAAAAATAAAAAGTAGATTGTACACGAAAACCGAGAAAATAAAAGTTGATAATGTTTGGTAAAGTAAGTGTTTTTTTCATAAAAAAAGCCACAAGCACTTTATTTAAGTGTTTGCAAACAAGCTCATAGTACTACTAAATGAATAAAATGAAAACATATTCTCAAGAATGAGTCCTACTTTGAGAAGAAAATTAATAATGAGACTCCTTCAAAAGAATTAGAGAAATACTATGTATTAGGTAGTACTTCCCTTCCTGTTAAAATTGTCTCATCTTTTCTTTTCAAAATTATCCACTAAGATTGTTCATATCAAAATTGGTAAAATTTATATGATTCTAAATCATTCTTATTTTATTTTTACTTTATCAATTCAACATCAAACACATAAACTTACTTTTCTTAATAACAATATCACATCCTCATATCCCAATGTTAGTAGGAGGGATCTAATATGTTTTATGTTTTACCCATACTAGTACTACATATAAATTAAGAGTTTTCGTAGATTCTAATCTTAAAATATTTTATACGTAGTATGTTTTATTCATATATTCTAATCTTAACATACTTAAAATTGTCATAGATTCTAATCTTAACATACTTAAAATTGCAGACGTTGCACAATAATGGAGTGATGCATCGTGACATCAAACCTGATAATTTTATGTTTCAAAGTGCCGACGAAACTTCTACTTTAAAGGCAATTGATTTTGGACTATCACATTTCTATAAGCCCGGTGAGCTAACATTAATAATTATGAGATGGTTACGTTTATGCATTTTGCTACAACTTTTATTTGGATAAGTAAATTGCAATTTTGAATTGCCTCGAATGAGATAACTACGACTATATGATAAGGTGTGAACTACTTCACTTTGCTTCACAACATTATTTCAGTCCGAAATCATGCAACTATATATGCATTTTTTTTTAATTTAATAGAACAATTAGATAAAGGGGAAGAAACTTATAGAGTTGAATTGAACTAGTCATTAAATATTGTGTCAAGACCTAACGTAGTGATCTTTTAAGGGAAAACTGTCAAATAGGTCCTCGAACTTTCATAAAAAGGTCAAATAAGTCCTTATATAAGAGGTTCTGTCTGGCCGTCGCGATTTGGGGCGATTCCCGGTGGAATTTTTTGATGAAAAATTTTGAGCATCTTATTCATCAAATATAGTTTACTCATACCAAATTTCAGCTAAAACTTCAATCGGAAACGCATTCAAATTAATTCTTGAAGATAACGGTTCATTTAATTGCACAATTATCTTCAAGAATTAATTTGAATGCGTTCCCGATTGAAGTTTTAGCTTAAATTTGCTATGAGTAAACTAGACTTGATGAATAAGATGCTCAAAATTTTTCATCAAAAAATTCCACCGGGAACCGCCCCAAATCGCGATGGCCTGACAGAGCCTCCTATATAAGGACTTATTTGACCTTTTTTATGAAAGTTTGAGAACCTATTTGACAATTTTCTCATCTTTTAAATACCTCTACTAGCCACTACTTCTTATACGAACTGACATACATATGAAGTACTCCCTCCGTCCCTAATAACTTTGCCAAGTTTGACCGGCACGAGAATTAATAAAGTAAAAACTGTGTGGTTGAGGTTTGTGCAGAGGAGAGAGAATTAAATGCAACCACAGATTCTTTACTTAAATGGGAAAGTGGAAAAGTTAATGGGACATCCAAAAAAGAAAAGTTGGCAAAGTTATAAGGGACGGAAGGAGTATAAGATTTTGACAAAAATAGCCTAAAAAGACTTTCATGGAGTTTTTCCCAAATAAGCCAAATAAGGGTGTTTTTTTGCCTTATCATTCGTCATGTCAGTGTAGTGTCACTTCACCTTCCACTCATTCACTAGTTTGCTACTAGGGCTGTACATTAGGCGGGTTGGAACGAGTTTCCTATATTTTTGGGTCTACCCAATTTATTCGGGTTGACTATTTACCAACCCGCGGTATGAAATATAAGTTGGTAAATCATGCATGAACGGGTCGGGTAGGATTGGGTATTAAAAGGAATTTATTTCGGGTTGAATCCTTAATATGCGCAACTAGTTTATAAGAGTAAACCATGCTTGCAATATGAATCTGGGTTAACTTATTTCCAAAATACACAAACAAATACAAGGACTTTTATAAGAGTAAACTTAAGGAAATAGTATAAAAACATTCTTGCGTAAAAGAAATTAATTTAGAAATTAGAAACAAATGTGTGTGTGTATGTATGTGTATATATATATATATATATATATATATATATATATATATAGAATTTTATTCATGTCCGGAATTCCGGACAGGAACCGCCGTCCGGACGGCGGCGTTTGGCCGCCTTTCGGGTGGAATTTTTCGATGAAATTTTTATGACATGTTCTTCATCAAGTCTAGTTTATCCACAAAAAAAATCAGCCACAAACTCAATCGGGAATGTCGTCAAATGATTTTTGCAAGTTAACTGGTCCGGAATATGTATTTTCCGGACCAGTTAACTTGCAAAAATCATTTGACGACCTTCCCGATTGAGTTTTTGGCTAAATTTTTTTGTGGATAAACTAGACTTGATTGAGAACATGCCATAAAAATTTCATCAAAAAATTCCACCCGGAAGGCGGCCAAACGCCGCCGTCCGGACGGCGGTTCCGGTCAGGAATTCCTGACCAGAAGAGTACTCTATATATATATATATATATATATAGAGAAATCATCTCATCAGGCCGGCCTGACGGGCTGCCCCGTCCGGCCGAGCCCGTTTGGGCACCTTCCCGGTGGAATTTTTTGATGAAATTTTTTGAGCATGTTCCTCATCAAGTCTAGTTTGTCCATACCAAATTTCAGCTCAAAATTCGATCCGGAAGGTCGTCAAATGATTTTTGCAAGTTAACTGGTCCGGAATATGTATTTTCCGGACCAGTTAACTTGCAAAAATCATTTGACGACCTTCCCGATCGAATTTTGAGCTGAAATTTGGTATGGACAAACTAGACTTGATGAGGAACATGCTCAAAAAATTTAATCAAAAAATTCCACCGGGAAGGTGCCCAAACGGGCTCGGCCGGACGGGGCAGCCCGTCAGGCCGGCCTGATGAGATGATTTCTCTATATATATATATATACTTCCTCCGTTCTTAAATAAATGCAACGGTCAACATTTCACACTTGCCGAGACACAACTTTGACCATTAATATAAATGATTTTGTATTAGTAAAAAAATTAAAAAAATTAGATTATGAAAATTTACAATGAGACAAGTTTAACAATATTTTTTTCATAAAATAATATTATTACATTAATAAATAAAACGTAGTCAAAGTAGAACATGTGAATAGTGTAAAAGTCAAAGTGTTGCATTTATTTAAGAACGGAGGTAGTATATATTAATATAGGGTATCGTTCGAATGCAAAGGCATGCTCACATGAAAAGTGCGAATGAATCCCACCCATCTATTTTGACAATCGGATGGCACTAATTAATAATTAAAACTCGTCCCCATAGTAGTATCGTGCAGCACCATGTATTAAAACAAAACTTTAAACAACGTGCAACGTAATCTGGAACTAATTAAGGGTATATTAGGAATTATCAGTATTTGCTAAATCGTTGTGAATTAATGCATGATTGTCTGCCGCGAACTACACGCCACTACCATTTGCAGTTTCCATCATCAGCATTTAATTTCAATTTAGAAAAAGGTTAATATTTTGGGCAATATAATTGATTTAGGAAAACGTGGAAACATCTCAAATCACCACCACAGCAAGTTTATAGAAATGCAAATAGCAGAAGTATGGAGAAAGATGTTGACTGGAAAAGTGCACACATGTCAATTTATTGACTGGCAAAGTGCACAAATGTCAATTTGTTCTTAAAAGAAATTGTGTAAAAGTTTTATTTTTTACTTTAGCCTTATTAGGTGTTTAGGGTCCTGCAGAAAAGACATGCATGGTAAAATCACGAATATATGACATCATTTTTATGGAAAAAATTCTTTAATGTTTTTACTGAAAGAAGTTATAATGGTGTGCATATTTAGTTTCTTTGTGCAAATATTATCTGGAAAATGTGCAGCAATTGGTGGGAAAATAAGTGCACCTAAATAAGGCTTCAAAGGTAATGTATTGAGGAAAAAATTGATTGCAACCATATATAGTAAAAGTGATATAGTAAAGTATTGAAAGTGCATAAGATGTTAGCTTCCATAATATGTGCAACCGAGATCGAAAAAAAGTATTTGATTGATAAAAATTGAATGCAACAATACATAGTAAAAGTGACATAGTATAGTACATAAAGTGCATAAGATGTTTAAGAAGTTCATTAATAAGCATGGGCAATTGAGATAGTAATAGTGAGTGTAAAAATATACTACATATACAATAAAACCAAAATTGTAAAGTAACGAAAGTGGATAAAATGTTAAAGAAGTTATAATAAGTGTTACCTATGGTTACAAAAAAGTATCGAATTAACAAAATATATGAGTGCAACAATATAAAGTTAAAGTGACATAGTAAAGTTTCAAAGTGAATATTAAACTAGTGCCCAAAATAAGAATCCGAGAATCATGGAAAAATAGTCAACCGTAAATTGAAAAACTACCAAAATAACTGTTATACAAGGTGGTTACATATTTCAGCAACGGCTGCAAAGAATCAATTTACGAAAAAAGGCCTCAAGTGTTTTGCGACAATCTGGGTGATGAGAATTAAACGAATGGTTAAGATCTTTTCTCACTTTTCATATAAACGGTCCTTTTATTTGATCTCTACTCTATTAATATATATATATATATATATATATATATATATATATATATATATATAAAATTTGGAACAAATAAAAAAAATCTTAAGAAATATCACACACTTAGCTTGAAGATTATCTGTGCTGCTCTGGCATGATAAGAGTACTGATTAACTTTCTTGTTTTAATTTCTTGATCTTTAGGAGAGCCATGTAAGCTTAAAACCTTCAGTGACTATTATGTGGCTCCTGAAGTTTTAAGAGGCGGCACACATGGCCCGAAGGTTGATATTTGGGGCGCTGGGGTCTTGCTCTTCGTCCTTCTTAGTTTTAAATATCCCTTTTGGGGAGGTTCGTAAGCATCCTTGGAACCCGTTTGGTAGCACGAAAATCGGCTGATTCTGCTGAAATTTACGAAGTTCTTGCTGAAGTGGTTGCATTGGCTGATTCTGCTGACTTGAGAAAAAATAATTTTTAAAATACATTTTATTGATAAAATTAAGAAAAAATTATATGTAAAAATAGCTAAAATGACCATCTACAGTAACTTCAGCCAATACAGCCAGAAAAGTAACTCCAATCTTATTTTGCTTATTAACACTACTACGTATTTCTTTTTATAAATATGGTGTAAATTGTCCAATAATTTCCACATGGGTGACACGGTTGTGATGATTTAAAACATATAAATTAAATGTGGTGTAAATTATCAAATAACTTCCACACCTCAGTGAAAATTTTAAAATAGAAATTGTCCTAAATATGAGTTATTATAATAATGTGATTTATATTTTAAATGAGGACTATTCTCTTTTTTCATAGAAAGGGGACTAAAGTACCATCTGAATCAATTAGCAATAATAGTATTGATGATTTGTTTTATCTTCTCATCAAATTATTTTCCACTTCCTTTTCTTTTGATGGAAAAATGTTTTCCCATTTTAAAAGAGGACTAATTTGTATATTCAGGGAATAGGGATGGTATGCTTAGAGCAGTTGCACGCGCTGAAGTCTGTTTCAATGGTCACCCTTGGCGAAATATTTCTAAAAATGCTAAGGATCTTATAAAGAAAATGCTTCATCCAGACCCACGTGAACGACTTACTGCTGAACAAGTTCTTAGTAAGTTATTTGTGGTCAAGATTCTAATAATACATTAACAGTTTTTTAAGAACACGAGTAAAATATACGTAGTAATTAATATTATTCTAAAATAGGACTAAATATTTTATAATACATTCAAGTTTTAAAGAGTAAAAAAGTTAAGTGCTCTCGATAGATCAACTATTCATACTTACAAAAGTTAAGTACCCCCTCTCTTTACAAAAGATTGTTGCACTTTCCTTTTTTGAATGTTTCAAAAACAAAGTCACACTTCCCTTATTTCTTTATTTGACAAAGAAATCTACATCAAAACAGTGTCAAAATAATGTCTAAACAGTGTCGACAGTGTACTCTACAGTAAAATCAATTTATTTCCTTAATAATCGTGAAGTCAAACTATGACAATCTTTTGGAAACGGGGGAGTACTTTTTTTCATCCCATGGGGGAGAAAGGGGGAGTGTGCACCTATGCGGCATCGAGAACTTTAATGCACCTTCAAAAAAAACTTTAATGAAAAAGGAATAAGGATTTTTTACTTGGATTGTAATTTGCTGGTCTGGACTAATCTAGTCTGGTCTAATCTAGTCTGGTTTCTTTGTATTTTTAACTATCTAAATTTGGTCTGGTTTGGTCTGATCTGGTCTGGTTTGATCTGGTCTTGTCTGATCTGGTCCGATCTGGTTTGATCTGGTTTGGTCTGGTTTGATCTGGTCTTGTCTGATCTGGTCCGATCTGGTTTGATCTGGTTTGGTCTGATCTGGTCTGGGACAAATTACAGTCCAAGTAAAAACATCCTAAGAAGCAGGTGCGTTAACGCTACTAGCTATTACTTCCTCCGTCCCAAAATGATGATCCTGTATTTGCTTTTTGGAATGTCCTAAAATGATGGTATTGTTTCCCTCTTTGGTAAAGAACTAATAGTGGATTACCATTTATACCCCTCCTTTTTAATGAACAGTAAAAGTAAAAGGATGAACAGTACAATAAAGTAAGGTTCTTTAGTCTTTCTACCACACTTTCTTAATCTTTGTGCTCAAAAGAAACAAGACCATCAAATTGGGATGGAGGAAGTATTATGTACGAAGTAGTAAATAAAAAAGTGGTAGACATAGAGAGGTAATAATAACGTACTCTCGCTTTGTGAATTCTAAGAATAAGTCATATTTATGAAATTAGACCTTGTTTTGCTCTAGTGAGCAATATCTTTCAATTTCTATACTACGTACGTACTTGTCTAATTTTAACAATCTTGTCTTGTTTTTTGAAAATGTATCATTACAGATGATCCATGGCTAAAAACGTCAAGAAAGCATTACCATATGGCCAGTGATGCTGACAACTGAAGACGCTTCAATTCGGTTTATAGTACGTATTATACAAGCTAAATCATTGTTAACTGGACAGAGGCATCAGATTTGGAATAGTATACCGTGTAGAAGAGGCCGCTATCAGCCTATCATGCAATAGTAGAGTATAATCTTTATCTTTAAATTATAAAGGAATTGGGCTCGGATAACAATAAGTTACGTAGTACTCCGTATTAATTGGATGATGTGTAAGATTATTTTAAAGATTATCATTGTGAATGAGAGATTATTTTGAGAGATTATTGAAAAAGATAATCCGGTATCAAAATTTGAATCCCGGATTATTTTGGGTTGTAGTTACATTTCATTTAATGCATGGTCTAGAAAAACTGATTATTTGAATATCATGGTTGATGGAGAATTTTAAGATTTGAGATTATTTAAAATTTATTTAATAAATGTGATATGACAATGATGTGTCATAAAAAAACCATTTATTTTAAGATCATGAATGGAGATTACTAGTACGAAGTATATGGTAAGCAACATACGGATCATGAATGTGAGATGCTTGGCCAATATGTAATTAAGGAGCTCCTTAATCACACATTCGCACCCAAATGATTGAGCTACACAATAACTTTGTTTTAATGAACTAGAGCTTCAGTAACTTAGTATATTAATTTTATAATAATATAATCAAGATGGGCATACAACATTTGAAAATTGAACACATTAAGGAGTCCATTATCGTTCATAATTACTTGAATCCAATTACAATTCCAGAAAGTTGTTCAAATTTGTAATTAGGTACATGGAATATCTCGTCTTTATAATTTATAGATTCAATCAACAATGGATAAAAAAATAGCTTTGAGTTTACAAAAGTTAAGTAGATAAAATTCAAATTGAACTCAATAATGTCGTTACATAAATGATTAAATTATGTGTTTATAAAAATGATTAAATTATGTAATATTACCTCTGTCGACTAACATTGAAGAGATGATGTGGTTATTAAGAAAAGAGAGTTTATGTGATTGATATTGAATAAAGTAAAAATAAAGTAAGAATGATTTGCAATCACACAAACTTTATCAAATTTGTTATGGGTTAATCTTAGTGAGACGGAAGAATTAATTAATCATTAAAAGTCATTTCAGCGGCATCAACAAGACTTTAAATTTCTTTGGGAAAATTGTCTTAAATAGGAGTAAATACGTTTGTATATTTCAAAATACGACTATCATATTTTTTTCTCTAAATAGAAGTAATTACTCTCATATTTTGGTAGTGCCAGACTTTAAACATGACGATATATTCTAAACTTGACAGTAATTATTCCTAAATAGAAAATAAAATTATAACAATCATATTTTGAAATTCTCAAACGTTTTTAGTCTTATTTATCCCAAATTCTTTTGAATGTTTAAGCCAAACTAGCTAGCTCGATCCCCTTCTTCTCAAGTGTGTGTGCATATGTATGAAGGGATCAGCAGACGTACACATTCATCATAAAGGGAAAAGGTGCAAATAGGCCCATATACTAACCAAAAAAGGTCAAATAAGCCCTTATTTAGGTAGTTCTGTCCGGCCGTCGTCATTTGGGGTAGTTCTCGGTTGAATTTTTTGATGAAATTTTTTGAGCATCTTATTCATCAAGTCTAGTTTGCTCATACCAAATTTCAGCTAAAACTTCAATCGGGAAGGCATTCAAATGAATTCTTGAAGATAATTGCGCTTCTAACTGTGCAGTTATTTTCAATAATTCATTTGAATGCCTTCCCGATTGAAGTTTTAGGTGAAATTTGGTATGAGCAAACTAGACTTAATGAATAAGATGTTGAAAAATTTTCATCAAAAAATTCCACCGGGAACCACTGCAAATGGGGACGGCCGGACAAAGCCTCCTAAATAAGGGCTTATTTGACCTTTTTTGGTTAGTACATGGGTCTATTTGCACCTTTTCCCCATCATAAATAACTGGAAGCATAAGTCAACAAGCTAAGATTGCTTAAATATCATAATTCAAGTTATAATATAAGCACAAATTAAACACAGACATATTCTAAATTTCTAAGTAGAATTTAGAGTAGTTGATCTGTGAATAAATTAAAAACAAAAAGAAGTATTGATAGGTATATACGTACTTGTTGCTTACATAGCTGCAAACTTGCTCTCAACAGGAGTATTACTTTTTATTTTCACACATATTTCTCTTTTAACGCATAAGATTCTTGCATTGTTGTCAATGTACCGCATATGATCTTCATCCACATAATAATTATGTTTCCAGATTTTAGAATTTCAAAAGTAACCACGAATATGACCTGGATTATATAACTAGTTCTTAAAAAACTCACAACTTTTAAAGTTTTTTAAGATTCAAATTTCAAGTAAAGAAGTTGCATGAGCGAACAAAAATAGTGTGAGCAATGGGAACTAAAACGATTGGGTAAATGAGGCAAGAAAAGAAAGGCATAAAAATCACAACATGACATGATGTGATGATGAGAATATATAGTAGCGACAGTGGAGCACAAAAAACAATGTAAGCAAAAAAGCAAGCATATAGGAGAGAAACCAAAATATTAGCCAATTATTGTTGCCAATCAAACCAAATTTCAGAACTTTACTCATACATTATTACTCATCCAGCAACACTCCGTAGATATATTTGTTGTTAACGCTCCAAGAAAGGAGTGAAAAAGAATATATCGCCAAGCCGATCATTCGTGGGTGAATTACCCCCATATAATAGCAGCCCCTCTTGCCCGTCTCGCTGCCCGCCAGCAAAAGCACACCATCCTCTTGGCCCTGGAAGATCTCCAGCGGCATCCCACCTTTTCCAAACTAGTGTTTCGGTATCAAGAGCATAAACCTCAGCAGAAAACTTTCCAGCACCAAGGTGACCTAAGTCGCTTGGGTCAACTTCCCCACCATATATAAATATGTACTTCCCAATCCGAGTTGTTGAAAACACACTCCGGGCAGATGGATTTTCTCCTTTAGTTTGGACAAGAGTCCACTTCTCTTCAATTGCATCGAAACAATGTACATCATCAAGTTCATCACCTGAAAATCCATACACAACCCAGATTTTTCCTTGGACTACAGCCAATCCTGGTCCACCTCTACCTTTACAAGCATCCCCAGGCAAGGGAAACTTTGCCCATTTTTCACTAACAATATTGTAAGCCCATAGATCATTGAGCCGACCAGTCAAACCACACCCACCAAAGACAAATATGTGTTGATCATCACTTGTCATGGAGTGGTAGCTCCGGTTTGGGGGGCCGTCATCCCCGCTTGACAAGAGGGTCCACTGGTTCGTGGATGTGTTGAAAGAATAAAGTTCGTTCAGCTCTTTGTGCTCAGCATCTCTTCCACCGAAGATGTATATTGTCTCCCCAATCGTTGCCATAGTGACACCTACACGAGGGGGAGGGACATCTCCAGTGACAGCCTCAGCCAATGACCAAGTTTGGTCACTAAGATTGAATACATAGAGTTGATTGTCAACAGGGACACGTGGGGTGAACTCACCACCGAAAGCATAGACCTTTTGTCCTACAATGGTAATTGCATGAGAGCTCCTTGCCCCAGGTCCAGTGCCTGACTGATCCAGCTGCATATAGTACATTCGAAAAAAACTTATTAGGGATTTGTTCAAATGATGCAAGCTTATCAACATAAATCCATAAAACTGAAAAAACAAATCCCAAATGAAGATGAACCAAATCAATCAATGGTTCGACTTTAAACGCTTGTTTGGTTGGGGAGTGTGGAAGGAGGGGAAGGTGATTGTTGTTTATTTTACTAATTTATCTTTTTTTGCTAGTTTTAAACTACAAATAATTATATGATCATGTATTTCATTGTTATTTTTCATCTTCAAATTATTCTCAGTCATCTAAGAGTGTATATGTAGAAATAATTTTAAAAGAAACGTTGGCATTCTCCTCCCCTCCATAATCCCCAAAACAAATAAGTCAAAGGTTTGTTCGGAGTAAGGGAAAAGGGGAACGAGGGATTGGAGGAAGACTCATCTGTCCATAATTCAATTCCACTACACCCCCAAAGCAAAATAATGATCTTTTATAAATTATATGGAACTACATTCCCTTTGTAATTCAAACAAGAGAACGTCTCATCCACTATAATTTCTCCCTCCCCTTGAACTTATCCAATCCAAACAGAGTATAAACATTTTCCTTCTTTTCCGTACCTATCCTTCACTAGCCTACCTCCCTCACAATCTGAACACTGTTAATAAGTAGTAACGAAATTGGAAAAAATTGCAATAAATGGTTTTCTTCTGGCTAAAAATAGAAATACTGAAGTGATTTTGAACTTAACAAGCGAAAAATAACCAATGCAGTCAGTTTCATCTCTAAATTTCACTTACAGACCGTGACATTGTCCATTTGTCCATACATTTTTCTCAAGTGGTTTATGAACTATGGCTAGACTCACATTTGTTCATCTAATAGGTGGGCATGAAATCTACAGGCTTGTTTGGTTTAGGGGTTTCGAAGGGCATAGAAAGAGAGGATGGATATTTACTATTAATTTGTATCTCTTTCTTAGATTAAGAATACAGAAAGAGAGGATGCGAATCTATCTTTATTGTTCGGATTAATTAGCTAGATCACGTATTTCTGTATAGCTTTTAAGCTTCACTTTAGTACCAAACTACCAACCATTTAAACTTAGAAAGAATAGTTTAATAACAAAAATTACCCCACCCCATTCATCCTCTCTGAAAGCCCTGAACCAAACAAACCCCAAGCCAATCAGGTGTGTAGTGAACCCATGCCAAACAAGTATTCAAAGAATGCTACTAGGAAGCAGATATTACTCAAGATGATATGCATAATGCATCCATGCATATCTAGTGCGGAAGTTGCAATTTAATTTGCAACCTATGTTTTAGGCATTCTGTAGTCAGATCATAAGAGCTTATACTCGTTATAGTCATCCGGGATTACCCTCATTTGCGTTGTTTCTGAAGTAAGGATGGGTAAACATTTTTTTATACATTCTTTAGCTACACTTTGATTTGACATAAACGTATTGGATAATGAAAAGTAGAACAACTTGTCATCATCTAATCAGTGCTTGTCACATAAGAATGTATCTAAAACATGTGAATCTATCTTTATTGTTTGGATTAATTAGTGGATTTTAAACATCCAACTCAGAGCACTTGAGAGTAGTAGCAAAAATTGTATCAAGGGAGCGAGAAACGTATTGCTTTCATATTTCTGTCTTTAAAGACCTTCACTTGAAGACACATATAATGGATTATAAATGATAACCAATTTCTAAACAGAGCAGTTTTAAGATTTGATAACGCAAGGATTCAAACAATCAAGGCAATGCAAAAATATCCGCACACATTTCCACAAAGAAGAAAACACATAATCTTTCACAACAAATTCAATGGGATTTAAAGTTAACTCACAATACAAGCAACTAAATGGTAGAGTTATTAGCATCCCCTATTCCCCTTTGGTTGGCTCTTTCGGCTCATTTTGCTGAATCAGCATTAGCCTTGATTTATTTGGCTGAAATGGATTTTACTAAATGATTTACCCTTTATTAAAAATAAGCACATTCAGCTGTTTGAAGTCTTTCAACAAAATAACTATTACCAAACGCCCTATAAGTATGAGCAAACCTTAATCCATTTTCCCACGGTTCGAGCCATTACAGACAAAACCCTGCAGTGAACATGAAAATTAGTTGGGTCTGGAATTTTATGTTAAAAGAAACGAAAATATTGGAACCATAAGACAACCCTTACTCCGGTTGAAAGAGTTGAAAAAAGAAAAACTTGAGCTGAGGAGTAAGAAAATTAAATTATTGCTTAATGGTAGAGAAGAATACGGCTCCGGAGCAGAGATGACTCCCAGTCTCTCCCCTGCCCAAACTGATACTATGAAGCGTGAGAACTGTGTTCGCCAGACCGGTGAACCTGCTCAAAGTCTGAAATTAGATAAGCAAAATAGCTATTTGTACAAAATGTGTTTTATGAGGGAAATATATGTTGGGAAATTTTATGTGATACAATTAAAACATAGGGATAATTACTATTAGCCCATGAGTTTATGTCATAATTATGAAGGTAATCTTCCATTTTTAAAAATCAGTTAGTTACCCACTGAGTTTGGATCATTCTCATTCTTTGCCCCTCACATTAATATTTGCTAAATCAAATTTAATATAACTCTTATATTTAATAATGAAAATTGTTTATAAAATTAATTTTTAAATTTAAACATAAATTATTATCATATTTATGATTCATTATTGTTGATCATTATTTTTCTACTTAGCTATTCCATAGTGGAATATATATTATTGAGAGTAGTTAAGGGAAAATACTCACAAGTACTACGTAAGATATAAAATATCATGAATTTCGATACTTCTATTTTAGAAAATTAAATATCATTCAATCTTATAAAACTAATAGAATTTTTACTATAAAAAATTGTGAAGATAGAATCATCACAAATTATTAACAGAGTAAATAAAACATTTAAATAAATCAAAATCCATGTTATTTTAGGTCTTAGATCAACAGCTTTCAATTATTTAGCTCCTATACCGATACATTCTACTTCGTATATTTTAGGTCGCTTATTGATGCTTGACCTATCTTTTAGTTCATGGAATGATGAAATTCCTTTTTTCTTGATATTTCTTCTTTGCTACACATGAAAGAAATGTCATTGAGACTAATTCATTCGGATGAATTTCAAATATTTTTATATTGATGATGAAGAAGTGCCTATAATCTTGACAACACATTTTTTAAATAACATTCTTTGATGTATCACATGAATATTACTCATGGATCTTCCCCTTAACTACTCACATTAATAATTATTCCACGATCGAGTAACAAAGTAGAAAAATAACGATCAACAACAATGACATATAATTATGATAATAAATTATATATGTTATACTTTAGAAATTAATTTATAGAAAACTTACATTGAATTTAAGAGTTATATTTAATTTAATTTAAGAAATATTAACATGAGAGGCATATAGTGAGAATGATCAAAACTGAGGGGGTAACCAATTGAATTTTGAAAATGCAAGGTTGCAATAACAATTATGACATAACCTCGGGGGGGGGGGGGGGGGGGGGGGGTAATAGTAATTTTCCCTAAAACATAAAGAGTATTGAGTTTTTCTAAATATGAGAAGTTATGTTTTTTAGCAATCACATGACTAAACAAAACAACAGCAGACTCTCCCTCTTCGTAGGGTTTGGAAATTCTGCCCATGTGGTGCGGCTAGTGCAAGGCGAACAGAAGCAGAGGAGAGAAGATGGCGACAACAAGCAATCGGCGACCAGCATGAAGCGAAGGAAGAGAGCCCAACATAGTTGCAAGGGTTTTGTCTAGGCCAAATTTCGATCAACAATGGAGGATCAATTAGAGTGGTACCGATGGTACGACCTCCTCCTGAACCACCGCCATGGTTTGATCGAGGTTCTAGGGTTCGTGAAAGTTTTCCTATAAGTTATTCTTATTTTTTCATTTGGTTTTTGTTATCGTCTATGTCGTTAGGTTTGTCAGTTTGTTTGGAAATTCAGCCTTTTTTATGTCATTGGGTATGTTTGGATCTATGAGAACAGGGATGGTTGTGTCAAACCCGCTACATGGTTAGCGATTCGCATTGCGCTTTCAGGGGTGACCGTCTCTAAGCCTGATCATAGAGTTTACAGTCGTAGTTGTTGGAGTTTAGTTAGTGATAAAGTAGTTTTTCCTTTGATTGTCGTAGCTGTTATAGTAGTCTGATGTAATGATCTTGAAACTTATGATATGAAAAGAAGGCTATTTGATGATAACAAAAAAACATTCACATGACTAAAAAGCAAAAATGAAACGCAAAATTCGTTATATTAAAAGGTTTAATGATCAAAATATTCTTATTTAAAAAATGTGCATTTTACACCATTTTGTCCAATTAAAAATAATATACTTTATGCTTCACGCAGTTACTACACTACATTACCGCACGACATTATTGCACATCTGGTAAAAATCACTGCATGACATTATTGCACATCCGGTAAAAATCACTGCACGACATTATTGCCAGCATTAATCCTATTGAGGGATAGTCTACTCGGGGAATATCTTATCCGAGGGGTTATTGCGGGAATAACTAGAGAGAAGTCAGAGCAAAATAGGAGGAGAGAGAGTTGATTTATTAAATGAACTCAGCGTCGTTTACGAGGAGAATAAGGGCTGCTCCGGCAGTGGGGTCACATCAGCGTGATTTATTAAATAGTACACGTGTCATCAATCCAACGGCCGAGGGGTCACATCAAATGGGTGGCACCGGCAGTGGCATGTTCCCCGCATTGAATGCGGTGGGTGGATGTGACGTTGCATTAAATGCGGTGGTTGGCTGTCTCCAAAAGGAATCTTCGATGATTGAGCCTGTCAGCCGAAGGCTCCTTGCGTAGCCGAGGGCGTCGCGTGGCCGAGGGCTCTGTGTAGCCGAAGGCTTTGTTCAGCCGAAGGCTTTTTGATGCCGAGGGCTCAACAGTGCCGAAGGCTTCTGTTTTCTGTTGTTTTCTCCCAGGAGCTTTCTCCATCACCTATTTTCATCCACGTTAGGAATTTCTTTAGAGTTCTTTTTTATTTATTTTAAGATGGAATAACTTTAAATTAGTATTTTACGTCTAGTTAAATATATTATATCTTGTGTTGTCGTTATTGCTCTATAGCCTTCGATTCACCGCGCAAGACACTTTATCAATGAATTCATTCACTACTCTTGTACAACACTATGTAATGTCATGTTCACTGTCATATTCAACATTATCTTTCTAGCAACAGTCCATGTTTACTGCCCATATTTACTCTCAATGATCACAAACCATAATTTCAGGAAAACAGTTATATAGTTGTGGTATTGCGGCATGGAGACAGTTCCAACCGCGGGTAGGTGCTAGGCAAGGGGCGGTTGCGACGCCGCGGCATGGGCATCGTCATGACGACGTGGCATAGGGATGACGGCTACACGCAGGCATGGGGATAAGGCGGCGCCGCGGCCCGCGGCATAGGGACATCCTCCATAGCATGGGGACGGCAGCATCAAGCAGGCGTGGAGACGGCGGCGGGGACGATTAGACTCGTAGACATGGGGACGGCCCACTACAAAAAAAACACGCGCGTAGTCACGAATTTAGTCACGGACTGCAGTTCACATTTTCCGTGACTAACAAAGTTAGTCACGGTCGCTAGCCGTGACTAAATCCGTGACTTAATGAGCGTGACTAAAAGCAGTCACCGCCACATAACCGTGACTACATTTAGTCACGGGTTAGTCACGGACAATAGACGTGACTAATAATACGCCGGAAAACCTTCTCCGACGTGTTAGTCACGGTTCACAGCCGTGACTATTGTATTTTTTTATTTTTATATATTAGTCACGGTCTAATCCGTGACTACTATAATCCGGTTTTAAAAAATTCCGCCATCTTAGTCACGGACTCAACTGTGACTAAGTTTTCAAAATTTTCAAAAGACCGCGGTTCTGATTTTCTATTTTTGAAATTTTGAATTAGTCACGGACATTAATCCGTGACTATATTTTTTTAAAAAGAAAAAAAATTAATTCTGAAGTAACCTTAGTCACGGATTAGGGCCGTGACTAAGTTTTTTGTTTTTTTTAAAAAAACATTTTTCCGTTTTAAAAAAAAATGTTTTTACGAATGATATTTAAAATATTATTTTAAATTATATTTTAAAATAATAATATAATTTATTTAATATATTATTTCATTTAAAAAAATTAAAAGTTATATTTTAAATTTTATTTATTGAAAATATGTTATTATATTTTCTTTAAAATCTAATTTTTTAAAGAAAAAAATTACATTTTAAGCAGTAAAGCAATTAAAACATTAAAAAAACACATACAACAAACTTAATAAAAATTATGACAAACTTATAAATGTAATATGAAATGCTAAACTTATAAATGTATGATTACATGCTCGTTCATCGTCGGACTCCATTACGATAAAAATTAGTATTATCTTCATTATCATCATCATCATCATCAACAACAAGAAACTCTTGTGGGTTCATGGGGGGTCTTCGGGCTGCTGTACGGGGTCGTCGGGTCGGGTTCCTCCTCGGGGTTCTCCTCGGGGTCCTCCTCCGGGTCCATGGCTTGGTGTACCACTACCTCCTCCGGATGACCTCAAAAAATCAAAGGACATAGATCCGAAATTCGGACCCATCGTAGGCGTGCCACCGTATCCGGAGTTAGAGAAAAAACCCATACCGCTCATGTGCGGAACTTGAGGAGTTTGCTCAGGGTGCAATACGTACGGGGGAGGAAAAGGCTGGTGCGGAGGCTGGAATCCGGCACGCATGAACCGTTCCATCTCCTCCAGCCGGGCTTTTGTTTCTTCCTCTTTTTTCCGCTGCTCCTCCCATCTCCGTTCGTGCTCCTCCAGTTCACGTTGCATTTGGGCAATACGAGGATCTTCTCCCCGCCTTGATCGAGAAGAGGAAGCGACGGTGCTTCGATCAATACAAAATCCGTTGCCCCTCGGCCCCCAGGCACGGAACCCGACCCTTGTAAACCCCGGCCGCCTCAATGGCCGCCTCATCATCCGCATCGGAATCGAGCTCGTCCTCCTGGGTCAAGCCTCGCTCCGCACGCTGCCTGTCAACGGTTTCGTTGTACTTCGTCTGCATTTAAAAAAATATTTTTAAATGCTACATACTTAGATTTGAAATGTTACTAAATAACAAAATATGATTGACGTACACTTTGTCATGTGTGCACTCAAAATAATTCAATACTAACAACTATACGTAGTATAGCGTAGTAGAGTTCGTATCCACAGGGAAAGGAATAACTTTTCTTTTTATGTAAATAGTAAATAAAGGGGGGGTTTTGATTGTTGAGTGATTTAATTAAATTAAACACGAAGATGAACGAGTTATATGGGATTAAATTCAAGAATAAAAGAGGACTTGGTCTTGCTACTTTCCACTTGTTGATATATTTTAGTCGATCATTGTTATATCTATAACTTATCCCCTCTCGAATACTCAATCGCGGAGTATCTCCAATTCATCGAGGGTAGTTATTAACAACGACCGTTCATTAATAACCCTTACTATTAATCAAATATAGAACAATGCCGTATACCGATATAATAGTAGCATTTAACCTCTTTAACTCCTTGATGAAATCAATTAAGATTGATAACCTCAACACAACGGTTTCGGTTTAACCAACAAAATTAATCCCTCTTAAGTTTATTAACCACAACCGTGCATTAATAAACCGAAGTTACTTACTTGTGAAACCATCAACGTTTAACCATCGGTTCGTTGATCGTTTCTAGTAATAATCAATGTCAGAACGTTAACTAATTGTCACTTAGCCACCCTCCAACATTAATATAGAATGAGATTAAGGGAAGAATTAATAATCTAGAGGAGAAAGTAAGAAAATAACTCACAACTTTAATAATCAACAAGCTTCAAGAGCAAAACCAAGAAATGGAAGTTTAGCTCCTCATTTGGAGACTAAACATGCTAAAAGAAATATAAAGAAATGCTATTCTAAACTGAGCTTAAGTATATGGAAGAAGGGATATTTTTTGTGAGGAAAAAGTGTGCAATTTATAGGTGTTTTTCAACACCTTTGACCGGGTACCCGACCGGGTATAGGTACATACCCGACCGGGTACCGGTCAAAATCAGATTATCTCCCACGTTTTTGTGTTTCAGCACGTTAAGTTGTTCGGGTCAAGTCAGACCCGACCGGGTCAAGTAAGGGACCCGACCGGGTTTGGTGCTCCGGGTCAAATCTGACCCGACCGGGTCGAGTAAGGGACCCGACCGGGTCTTACTCTTTCCTCTTAGATCCTGATCTTTAACTGACCCGACCGGGTTCAAGGTCTGACCCGGTCGGGTTTGTGTTCCTGAGCATTTTTGTCTTCAGCTTTTCTCCCCTTTTGCTTGCTAAAAACTCTATCACTATTCTATAGCTAGAAATAGAAGGTAAAAACAATAACAACTAAAATAAAACAAATACTTACAAACTAACTAAAAGTGATGGAAAGTCCACACAAGATCAATATAAAAACATGCACTTATGCACTATAAACTAGTGCATATCAATGATGTTACATACTTCGAAGTCAGCGAGGCGAGGTGGCAGATCGGCTTTCGACTCCTCGCCGTGCTTCGTCCAGCAATGCTTGACGAGCTTGAGAATTCCAACCCTCTTCTTCTCAGGACTAGCCTACATGGTGTGAAAAAGGCTTAAGTAAATTTTTTATAATGAAGGGTTGTAATGGTGTAAGGTTTTTTTAATAGCACTTACAAGAGTTTCTCTATGGGCACTCTGAGATTTGCGACCCCCGTGCCACTGCGTCTCCAAGGCCTTCTCGGACATCCGGTTTTTCTTACCGGATTCACTTATGGCCAAGAATTTCGAATCCGAAGACCAGTGACGACAAAGGTTGGCCCACACTTCATCCGAAACCCATTTAGGCTGTCTCACACGGTTTCGGGCACGCTTAAAAGTGGGCCGAAGCCAGGTCAAAATCCTATTATTATAGGCTCTAAGAATAGCCGCACCGTTTGCGTGAGTCCAACGAAAGCGAGCCTTTATTAAAAAAAATTGGATTAATTAATCATTTGTTATATATTAGGCTACTACAATTACGCAGGGAACATTCATTTATTTTTACCTTGAATAGGTTCCACCATAGTTCGCGGACCTTGGGGTCAACATCCGTGTAGGTGGCCCAATTGCCAAGAAAGTGTCCTCCAATTATGTTTTTGATGCCGTCGAACACTTCTTGTCACTTCAAAAAATTAATAGTATTCATTTATATAAGATTTGGTTAGATTATTTGACATTATATAAAATTATTTGACATAAGGTTTGTTCATAACTACTTACTGAGCAACTTGGTGAGGTGTCACCCAAACAGCTCTTTCATTGTTGCGCTCGGCTTCGCTCATGGGCGCATAGTTAGGGCGGGCAGCCGATGTCGAGTGTTCGTCGGTCATCTAAAATACATTAATTTATTTTGTTTTTTGTTAGTGTGATTATAATAGAAGATCAAATTTTTATATAAGTATTATCAATTGAAAATGTGTATAACATATTAAACTGTGTATAAGTTTAATATGAGGGGTCAAATAATTGCTAATAAACAAATCCTATAATTATCAATGAGTTGACCCAGTCGACCGAAGAATCGACCGGTTGGAGCTTATCAATGAGTTGACCCAGTCGATTCATTGATAAGCTCCAACCGGTCGATTCTTCGGGCTGCGGCTTGAGCGCCATTGATGGGCTCTCCCAAGCGCATGTACTGACATAAATGTCAGTATAAAAACTATATATAAGTATTATCAATTGAAAATGTGTATAACATATTAAACTGTGTATAAGTTTAATATGAGGGGTCCATATTTTTTCACCATAAGTTCTTTTACAACTTGGAAATAATTTGCTCTTAGAGGTAACGTGTTAAACTTTTTGCAAAGTTTACATGAGAGGACATCATTTTTTTTATGTTTTAGATATATGAGTTTTATCCACTTTTTATAAAAAGTTTTAAAAAATTATAAAAACAGTTTACTTTTTTTTCAAAAACAGTTTATAAAAAAAGGTTTTTATATAAAAACAGTTTGTAAAAACACAGTTTGTAAAGATAGTTTTTTACAAATTTTTTTATATAAAAAACCTGTTTACTTATTTAAAACAATTTATTAATACATTAATAGATTATAAAAACAGTATACTTTTTTTATAAAAACGTTTTTCTAGAAAAACAGTATACTTTTTTATAAAAAACAACATACTTTTTAAATAAAAAACAGTTTTTATAAAAACTGTTTTCTAGAGAAACAGTATACTTTGTGTTTATAAATTATAAAAACAGTTTTATACAAAAAACGGTTTTTTATAATGTCTAAATAACAGTTTTATAGTTTATTAAATAAATTACAAAAACAGTTTATATAAAACAGTTTTCATAAAAACAGTTTTTATATAAACTGTACAATATATATAAAACAGTTTTTATAAAAACCGTTATAAAGACAGTTTTTATATAAAACAGTTTTTTTTAATTCTGTTTTTAACAAATCTGTTAATTAATCAGTTTTTACAAAAAAAAACTGTTTTTTCAAAAATCTGTTTAATAATTAGTTTTTACAAAATTCAGTTTATTATAAAAATCAGTTTTTAGAAAAACAATTAAACTATTTACAAAAACAGTTTAATAGTCTACTTTTTTTACAAAAATCAGTTTTATAGTTTTTTTAAAAAATCACTTTACCATTTTTGCTATAAAAACTGTTTTATAAAAATCATTTTTTATACTTTCTACAAAACAGTAATTTCGAAAAATATGGTTTTATCCAGTTTTTAAAAAACAATTTTTTTTAAACTGCTTATATCCAGTTTTTAAAAAACTGTTTTATACTTTTTTAAATAATTATAAAAACAGTGTTTTATCCAATTTTTACTTTTTATACTTATAAAAACTGTTTATAAAAAACAGTATACTTTTTTATGTTTAACATAAAAATTCGTTAATGTTTTTTAAATAATTGGGAAAACAGTATACTTTTTTATGTTTATTTTAAAATTTGTAAAATTATAATTAAACATGTTAAGTTTGTGAAAGCTTAACATGAGGGGGCAATTTTTTTAAATCTTTCAGGTTAAAGCATGAAAAGCATAAACATTGTATAACTATAGGGATGCATGCATATCAAACACTAAACATATATGTTAAACATCAAACTAATTGTATAAACATTCATTAGTTCGAAAATATATTGAGCATGGTTTAACCAAAAAAGAATATTAAATATGAACAAGAAAATAAAGACAGTTTATTTAAAAAGTTTGTTTAAATATTTTCAAAAATTAAATTCGGAAATTAAATTTTTTAAAGTTACCATTTTAAAAAACAGTTTATTAAGTAGTTTAATCATGCATATGAACATATATTAAACATATAATAATCTAAATCATTTAAACATAGTTATCATGCATACAAAACATATAAATCATGCATATTAAACATATAAAACGAAATTATCATGCAAAACTGCAAATCATGCAGATAATAAATCATACATACAACTTTTGAACATTACAAAATGATATGAAACTAAAAATCATGTATCTTATCATGCATTTGAGTATAGTATCATGCATTTTTGGAATTTTAATCAAATATTAGAAAATAAGATGAAAAGAACACATAACCTTGACTAAGAAAAGAAGGGGCGGCGAAGGAAGGCGGCGGACGGCTGGTTGTGGACGACGACGAAGACTAGACCGGCGGCGGTGACTGCGGTGGCGGTGGTGGCAGTTCGGCATGCTAGGTGGCGCGGCACTAACCGAACTGGAAGAGAAGGAAGAGAGAAGAGAGAGGTAGTTTAGGGTTTGGGAGTTTGGGGTGCGTAGGAATGATAAAAACGCTAAGTGTTTGTTTTATATAATTGTTTAGTCATGGTCATACTCACGGTCAGGTCCGTGACTAAACCCTTCGTAAATGTCGAAGTCAGGCCGCGGCAGGCCTGACGGTCAGAGCCGCAGATGACCGGAATAGTCACGGGAGGAAGATGTCATCCAACATGCCATCTTCTATGTTAGCAAGACCCTCAAGGAGGCAGAACTCAGGTACTCCCCTGTGGAAAAAACGGTCCTAGCCATTGTTTGGACCGTCAAGAAGCTTGGCCACTACTGTCACGCCCCGGACCTACCCGGACACGTCAACAACCCGCCGTACAATACGAATAGTCAACCGCAGTCCAACACATTCATATTATACAAGGCGTCATGAATATCATTCACACATATAACATCCATAAACAAACATAATAAGTAATTCATAACGCAGCGGAAAACATTGTTTAAAGCAAAAGGCCACACCGGGCTATTCATGAGCACGCAGGCTCTATAGTAAAATATCCATGAGCAAATTTATTAATGTTTCAAATAGAATGGAGGAAGCACGAACCAAGTCTTCTCTCCGAGGAATCACTCGATCAACGAGCACAGGATGCAAGCTCTAGCCTCAACCTGAAATGGTGGTGGGACGCCCCCGAAGGGGTCAATACTCTATACGGCTATAAAGTACTGGTGTGGCAGGCATCTAATAGATATACAACAAGTATTTCAAACACAAGACCCTCAAATAGGGTGATAGTACATTATGATTGTAACCCTAAGTTACCCCGTTTAAAAATATACTTACTTTATATAAAAGTCAAGTAGCCGGCCCGTGGGCCCATGTTCATTTGGAAAATCACCATTCCCAACCCCGTGACTATAAGCCACGACAACTCCTAGAGTCCAACCCTAGTACATGACATTGTATTCTAGAGCTCGGCTCTACCACATCACCATACAATTCATATACCTCGGGTCAATTTCCCTACCTTGCGTTCTAGAGCTCGGCTCTATCACATCACCACGCAAGTCCTAGAGCTCGGCTCTAGCTATACAATACATAGACTCCAAGTCTACACCTTACATGCATTCTAGAGCTCGGCTCTATCACATCACCATGCATTAAGGTCCAATTCTCAAGCAACCCTATGCCTAGAATTGACATATCATTAAACTACCATGGGTCATCCTTAAAGACTTCCCATAACTTAACCTTAGTTCCTTACTAAGTTATTAGATACACTTGAACTACATTCAAGTATATTTCATACAATCCAATCCCTAGGATCAATTTAATCAACAAGTTCCAATAATCACTAACTAGTATTTCAATACTATTAAGATTATTGTTATCATACCATTATCCTCATTATTTGTAATTCTCTACATAATTATAATTATGTAGCAGCAACTTAAGTATTCAATCTCAATACACAATTATTCATTTATGTAACCACATAATTCATACATGAGCAAAATGCCTATTTCACAAAAATAGTTCATTTATACTCATTTAATCTCATAATATTCATGCATTCTCAAATCATTTCAAATTTCATTCTTTGGCAACTATATCAATATTTCATCAATATGTAACCATCATAATTCATGAAAAATAATGATTTAAGCATTTAGGTAATCTCATGCTTAACCTACAAGTTGTAAGCAATTAGATGTCAATCCTCACCTCAATTGAGCTTTAAACTTTCCCTTCTTGGTCCAATGGTCAAAGCTTTGGTCAAGGTGGATTTGGAAATAATTCCTTGCTCAAATATGAGTGTTAAACAGCCTCCTCAAAGTGCTAGTTCAACCCTCAATCGTTGATACGAAAACAGCCCCTAGAACGGGTGTTTCCCGGTTAACTCGTTTCCTAGTTTTTCCAAGATTTGCTCTAGGTTAGTATCTAACCTTTTCATCAATAAAATAACTTTATAAGGACATATTATACACTTGGATTAGTGTATAATAGTCCCACCAATCGTTCATATCATTTGGAGAATGAAAAGTAAAGTTTTGGGGTTAAAACTCACTTTAGAAGATTAAATCCTCTCCTGCGAGGTTGTGTTTTGCTCGGACGATTTGGAAGCCTTCCACAACTCCGATTGATGCAAACCAGACCTTCACGGATTCCTCGTCTTGAGAGCTTTCTTTTGGTATCTCACACGCTTTAATTGGATTGTTAAAACTCGAGATATCAACCAGACAGTCCCAGCACTCCCACAGCTCGAGTTCACAGACCACTGCTCGTTCCAGATCGATTTTTGGATGATTGCTCTCTCCTCTCGAACAGAGACCACTCAATTATAAAAATAGACTTCAAAATCTATCCAAGGACACCTTATACACCTCATTTGGCCGAGTATAACCTCACTCATAAAGGGAGACAAAACAGCACACCTGTTTGTGCGAAAACAGTGGTGGTGGCCCCAAAATTTGATCCCAATTGTGTCATGGGCAATGCTCCTCCATGTGGTGCGGCCAAGGTGAGTCTTCTCACCCATTTTCCTTGTCTTGCAGGTACTCAAGCCACATGGGATGCCCCCCAATTGATCCCAATCAATTTGAGGTCCAAAATATCTACCAATACTTCCAAAAATGGGAAGATGGGTCCTATTGTTTTATCTTTGTCAAAGATGTCCTTTTGTACTCATCCTAATTTATTTAGAACAAGTCAACTTCCTAAATCACATTATTGATCTCCAATATGTGTAGGCTCATCCCAATAATTTACTTGATGGATATTATAGAAGGAAAATCCTACTCCCATTATTTAGCTCAAAAATGCCAAAGATAGGGTTGTAGGCGTTGGTATTCTTCTTTAATCATTCGATCACTTATTTAGATAATGTTGAGCTCTTTTATTTATTAATAAGTCCCGAAAAGCGTTTGCAAACCCGACACTATCATACGAGTTTGAACAGCACGATATTCAGTCATGCACTACGTAAAACATTAATCGTTTTACAAATTGTTTGGCAATCGAAAATTCAATACATAAATGTTAAATTTTTAAATCGAATTTTTCAAGGACGTTCGGGTGCGGTGTCACAAGTTCACCCCCCCTTAACAGGAATTTCGTCCCCGAAATTCACAGCTCTACTCGAATAGGAAAGCATACTGCTTCCTCATCAAAGCCTCTGTTTCCCATGTCTCTTCCTCGACCCGATCGCTCTTCCACAGGACTTTAACCATTGGGACTTCCTTGCTCCTCAGTTTCTTCACCTTTCTATCGGTGACCTTGATAGGTTGAACAGCGTAGTTCAAATCCTCACGTACCTCTACAGGTGGCTTCTCCAATACGTGAGAGGGATCATGCACATACTTCTTAAGCATGGATACATGAAACACATTATGTATCTTCTCTAACTCGGGAGTCAACTGTAGGCGATATGCAACGGCCCCAATCCTCTCTATAATTCTGAATGGACCTATATATCGTGGGTTTAGTTTTCCTCGGGTTTGGAACCGAATGATCCCTTTCCAAGGAGAAACTTTCAAGAATACCTCGTCATCAACCTTAAACTCTAAGGTTCTTCGACGCTTATCTGCATAACTCTTTTGTCTATCCTGAGCCGCCTTGAGTCTCTCTCGAATCAACTTCACCTTTGATTTGGTGACCTCAACCAACTCAGTACCCTCGAGTTTGGCCATGCCAACCTCATTCTAGCATAACGGTGTACGGCACCTCCTCCCATACAATGCCTCGTATGGAGGCATGCCGATGCTTGCCTGATAACTGTTGTTATAGGCAAACTCCACAAGTGCTAAGTGGTTGTCCCAACTTCCCTGGAACTCCAATGCACAAGCCCTCAGCATGTCTTCTAGGATCTGTATGACTCTTTCAGACTGCCCATCCGTCTGAGGGTGGAAAGCAGTACTGAACTTCAACCTCGTTCCCATAGACTCCTGAAATTTTGGCCAAAAACGTGATGTGAATCGTGGGTCTCTATCAGATACAATGGTCACTGGGACCCCATGCAGCCTCACGATCTCATCCGTATACAATTTGGCTAACCTCTCAAGTGGGTAAGTAGTGTTGATAGGCAAGAAGTGTGCACTCTTTGTGAGCCTATCTACAACAACCCAAACTGCATCATAGTTCCTGATTGTCCGTGGCAAACCTACCACAAAATCCATAGTCACGTGTTCCCACTTCCATTCCGGGATGGAAAGTGGTTGCAATAAGCCTGCTGGATGCTGATGCTCTGCCTTAACTTGTTGACAAGTAAGGCATCGACTGATGTATTCGGCTATTTCTCTCTTCATACCTGACCATCAGTAACTCTCCTTCAGGTCACGGTACATCTTCGTGCCCCCCCGGGTGCATGGCATAAGCCGATGAATGAGCTTCCTCTAAGATGGACTTCCGGAGCTCGTCATCTGCCGGTACACACACTCGGTCACGAAATAATAAGAGACCGTCATCTCTTTCTCTGAAGTCCTCCACCGATCCCGCTTGCATGCGTTCCCGGATCTTCATAATTTCTTCGTCGGTTTCCTGACCCTTCTTGATCTCATCAAGTAAAGTAGGTCTCACCTCAAATCGTGCCAATAAGGCACCATCGCTGGATACCTCCAGTTGGGCTCTTAATGCCCTCAAATTAGCTAGCAATGCCCCAGACGAGCTCTTCCGGCTCAAAGCATCTGCCACCACGTTTGCCTTGCCTGGGTGGTACTCTATCACTAGATGGTAGTCTTTTATCAGCTCCATCCACCGTCTCTGTCTCATGTTTAGCTCTTTCTGAGTAAACACGTACTTCAAGCTCTTGTGATCAGTGTATATGTGACATGTCTCCCCGTAGAGATAATGTCTCCATATCTTCAGTGCAAACACCACTGCCCCCAGCTCCAAATCATGAGTAGGATAATTCACCTCATGCTTCTTCAACTGTCGTGAAGCATAGGCGATTACCCTCCCATTCTGCATCAGTACACATCCAAGCCCTTGGATGCTCGCATCGCTATAGACATCGTACCCCACACCCTGTTTGGGTAATGCAAGTACCGGTGCCTCGGTCAATCACTTCTTTAGTTCCATGAACCCCTTCTCACATTTGTCATCCCATACAAACTTAGCCCCTTTACGAGTGAGCTTCGTCAATGGTGATGCCAAAACAGAGAACTTTTCCACAAACTTCCTATAGTAGCCTGCCAATCCAAGGAAACTACGAATTTCCTTGACGTTCTTTGGCCTCTCCCATTCGGTAATGGCTTCTATCTTCTTGTTGTCAACAGCAATTCCCGATCCAGAAACCACATGCCCGAGAAAGCCAATTTCCTTTAGCCAAAATTCACATTTAGAAAATTTGGCATAGAGTTGCTTTTCCCGTAGTGTCTCGAGGACAAGTATCAAGTGCTCCTCATGTTCTTCTTCACTCTTGGAGTAAATCAAGATGTCATCTATGAACACAATCACGAATCGGTCCAAGTATTTATGAAATACTCGGTTCATCAAGTCCATGAATGCCGCTGGGGCGTTTGTTAACCCAAATGACATAACAAGGAATTCAAAGTGCCCATACCTTGTGCGAAAAGCACTTTTTGGTATGTCATCTTCCTTAATCTTCAATTGATGGTAACCCGACCTCAAGTCAATCTTTGAAAACACGGTTGCCCCTCGTAGTTGATCAAACAAGTCATAAATCCTAGGCAAGGGATACCTATTCTTGATTGTGACCTTGTTCAGTTGACGATAGTCAATACACATTCGAAGTGTCCCACCTTTCTTTTTCACAAAAAGAACGGGTGCTCCCCACGGGGAGTGGCTTGGTCTAATGAAACCGTTATCCAAAAGCTCTTGCAATTGGGTTTTCAACTCGTTAAGTTCAGCGGGTGCCATACGGTATGGCGGTATGGAGATTGGTTTGGTACCAGGCTCGACCTCGATCACAAATTCAATCTCCCTATCAGGTGGAAGCCCCGGTAGGTCTTTAGGAAAGACATCCGGATACTTACAAACCACCCTCACGTCGTCGATGTTCGTTTCCTCCTTGGTTTTGTCAATCACGTATGCTAGATATGCGTGGCACCCCTTTCTTATCATACTTCTCGCTCTCACGGCGGATATGATACAACTGTTGGATTTGCCTCGATCCCCCTCGAAGCGTATGGTGTCCCCATCGTTGCCTTCGAGTTCCAAAACCTTTGTGTAGCAATCTACCCTAGCACGATGCTTTTCTAGCCAATCCATCCCTAGGATTGCATCGAACTCCATCATACCCAGCGGTACGAAATCACACGTCAAGGTTTGGCCATCGATTTCCACCTCACAAGATGGATAGTAACTAGCTCTTTCAATGTCATCCCCTAGTGGTGTTGATACCACTAGAGTTTGCGTCATTGGGGTTGATTGTATCCCTAAATCCTCGGCGAACGCCTCACTCACGAATGAACGTTGCGCTCCGGTATCGATAAGGATTCGTGCATTGTAAGGAATAAATGTAATTAGATTTTGATGATGCTATAGGATTAGAAAGTTAGAGTACCCCCAATTAGATTTTATGTATTAGAATTTTCATTTGTAAGTATTAGTGTAGTCGACGATCAGAGTTGCTCTGTTTTGGATCAGATCAGAAGTGCATCAGAACTGCTCGACCAGACTTGCTCTATGAGAACTGCTCCATCAGAGTTCTCGTACCAGAAGTCCATCAGAGTTGCACCATGAGAGTTGCTGATAAGCTTGGACATCTGATAACCGATGAGAGTTACAGATCAGAGGTACTCATCAGCGGACCTATCAGAGTCAGAGTTAGAGATCAGAAAGCCTTCAGAACTCAACTCATCAGAAAGCCATCAGAATCCAACACATCAGAAGAGCCTGATCAGAGCCCGACTAACACTTAGAAGTTTTCAAGCAACATCCAACAGCTATGAATCCAACGGGTAAAAACATCCAACGGCTAGAAGACTGTGCATGAAAGGAAAGCATTTAATGCACATTAAATGAGCCTGATACGCTGAAGGATTGATTGCAAATGATTGACCAAGGAATCCGGGAAGATTTATTATAAAAATAGAAACCTTCCAAAACGGCGGTCAAGTCAACTGTACGCGCATTTAATGCAGTTGTCTCCTCCTCCAACGGGCAGACAACCTCAGTATATAAGCTACACACCGAAGAACAGAAAAATAGCTTTTTGCCAAGAACTTTTGCTCCAATCACTGAACATACTTCTTGAGATTCAATCATCATAACACTCTACAAGAAAAGTCCTACGTTGGGAAGATTCAATCTTCAAATCCTTCATCCCCAACAACGAGCAAAGTTCATCCTGTTCTTCAACACTTCAAGATCTTCATAACACATCAATTGTGACGAAGCTAGTTGGAGGAA